GCTTTACAACCTTAGCTTTACAACCTTAGGGTAGGCAAAGGTTTCCTAGGTCACAAAAAGCATTAACCATAAAAGAAAAACTGGTAAATTGGGTTTCCATCAAAGTTAAAACCTACTCCAGAAAAAACATTGTTAAGAAAATGAAAAAGTAAGCATAGACCGGGAAAGAATACTTATACTACAAATCTGACAGAAGACTTGTATCCAAACTGTAAAGAACCCTAAAACTTAAGACAAACAGCTCAGTTTAAAGATCTGCAAAAGTCTTAGACAGACAGTTCATGAGGAATACATATAAATGGTCAAAAAGTACATGAAAAGATGTTTAACATCATTATTCACCAGGAAGATGTAAATTGAAACCACAATGAGATACCACTTTACAAATTAGAATGGCCTAACATCTAAAAGACAAGCAATACCTGTTATTGCAATAACTGGACCTCTCATCATTGCAGGTGGGAACATAAAAAGTTGACATGCACCTAACCATATGACAGCCATTCCATCCCTATGTGTTTATCCAAAAGAAATAATTACATATGTCAATAAAAGACAAACACACAAATGTTTATAGCAACTTTATTTGCAAAAACTGGAAATAACCCAGGTGGCCATCCACAGGAGAATGGATAAACAAAATGAGATATAATCATGTAATGGAATATTACTCCATAATAAGAAATGAACTACTGATACATGCAGCAATGTAGATTAATGTCACAGACATGCTGAATGAAAGAAGAGGGACATAACAAAATACATATTGGATTCCATTTATATGAAATTTTAGAACAGGGTAAAGCTAATGTATATTGATAACAATCATATTTTAGGTGTCTGGATAGTGGGTAGGCGGAGATGGTTGGCAAAGGTGGATGCACACAGGAACTTTGGGTGGAGTTAGCAATGTTCATTATCTTGATTGGAGTGATGGTTCCATGAGTATATATATTTGTCAAAAGTTATCCATGTGTACACTTAAAATATGTAACTTTTATTGTATAAAATTATGCCCCAAAAAAGTTGATTTAAAAAATTTTTAAAACCATTTAGAATAGCATCAGAAATATGAAAAATCTCATATTAAGTTGCATAAAAGATGTATAAGACTTCTACAGAAATAAAAATTAAAACATTATTGAGTGAAGTTACAAAAAAGACCTAAATAAGTTAGGGGTTATAACACATTTGTGGATGGGAAGATTCAATAATATAAACATGTCATTTCTGTACAAATGACCTAGATGTTTATGTGGTCCTCATCAACTGCTAACAGGTAAGGGACAATTAGAATTTAAAATTTATGTGGAAGTGCAAAGGCCAGGAATAACAAGACACATTTTTTTCTCTCACTGTAACCTTTATTTTTTAAATTTTTTATCTTGAAATAATAGACTTAGACTTTTTTAAAAGTTGCAAGATTAGTACAGTGCATTCCCATATGTGCCCTTCGCCAAGGTTCCCCTAACCATAGTACAGTTATCAGAAATAGGAAATTAACATTGATACAGTAGTCCTTATTCACATTTCACCAGTTTTCTCAATAATGTCCTCTTTCTGTCTAGAGTTCAGTCCAGGATCCCATATAGCATTAGTTGTCACATCTTCTTAATCTCTTCCAATCTACCCAAGACACTCTTTACTATATTGTATAAAGTAGGGTGCAGGTAGGAAACAGGTGGCCCAATTGATCGATGTAATGAGGAGAGTTTAATGAAGAACTGGGTTAAGGGAAATCATCTAAGGATGGTGTAACTATCTCATGGCTAGCAGTAACAGGGAGCCATTGCCTCTTCTAGACCTGAATGAGCAAAAGGAGAAAGCATTTACTGGGATCTGTAAGGAGAGCTATAGTTGCAGGAAAGGGTCATTGAACCAGAAGTTGACCTCAGGGAGAGAAACACAGCCACTGTCAACTGCAGCCCAGCAGAGGAAACCAGGGGGTATAAAGAACTTGACTTCAGTCTCCTCCTACCATCTAATCTTCTGTTGCTATCCTCCCTTGCCTAAACCTGACAGGAAGCCAGGGGGCAAATAGACCCATTGATGTAAATCATCAATGTTTATCTTATGGGGCACTGAGCATGGTGGAAAAGGCCAAAGGGTGGCAAGTATATTTAGAGGGGCAAACTGAGAATAACCAGCATACATATGAAGACTCATTATAAAGGCGTAGTAGTTAAAGGCCAGCCCCATGGCTCACTCAGGAGAGTGCGGCGCTGGTAGCGCCAGAGGCTACGGGTTCGGATCCTATATATAGGGATGGCCGGTTCACTCACTGGCTGAGTGTGGTGTGGACCACACCGTGCCGAGGGTTGCGGTCCCCTTACCCGTCAAAGAAAAAAAAAAAAGGCAGGGTAATTAAGATGGTGGTGTATTTATGTAAGGTTAGACAAACCAACAGAACAGAGAACCCAGACAGGTTCCAGATGATATGGTAGAATAGCGAAAGATGGTCTTTTCAATAAATGCTGTTGTGTCATTTGGATACCTTATAGGAAAAAAAAAATTGAATCCCTTCCTCACACCGTAAACAAGCAAAAATTTTAGGTAGATCATTGATCTAGATCAGGACTTCTTAAACAGACTAAAAACACTACTGTTCATCAGAAGATACCATTTAGAATTTAAGGCAAACCACAGATTAGACAATACTTGTAACACATATAAATGATAAGAGACTCATATCCATATAATACGACCCAATATATCCCCAGACAAGAATGTTTATAACATCATTATTTGTAGATTTTATACTGGAAATAACCTAACTGTCAATCTGTTGTAGGATGGATAAATGAATTGTGGCGCATTACTATTAGGGAATACTATATAGCTAGCCAAAGTTACAGCCAGCAATTTGGATTGACCTGCCAAGTATAATATTGAATGAAAGAAGCCAGATATAAAATAATACATTAGTGTGATTCTATTTATTTAAAATTCAAAGATAGGAAAAACTATTATATTAGAAATTGAGATAGTGGTTATTTTGGGGGGGAAAGAAAGGGATAGTGATTGAGGGATAAATGATAGGAATCGTGTTTCTGGAGTTCTCTTATGGGAGTGATCAATTTGTGATAATTGATTAAGCCATACACATAAGGTTTGTGCATGTTTGTGTCAATTTTACTTTTAAAAATAATTTTTTTACATTTTAACTAAAAAGGGAGAGAGAGACAAGGAAAGGAGGAGAAGGGAGGGAGGACTTCCTGTATGGGGATAATCACTTTGTGATAATTGATCAATCGAAAAACATAAGATTTGTATGATTTTCTGTATGCAAATTTTACTTTTCAAAATAAATTTTTAAAGTTTGAAAAGAAAGGGAAGGAAGGAATGAAGGAACGTCCAAAGGAAACGAAGGAACTCAGGGTCTCATTTCAGGTTCCTGGTCTGAAACGTGTTCTCAAACTTGTTTGGAAGAGTGGAACTTCATTTTGAAAAAAAAAAATTTTTTTTAGTCATCTATTTTATATAATTCCCACCATGTTCCAGATAATATTAAAATTAATAAAGCACACAAATATATAAAAGCAGGAACAGAGAGAGGAAATGACAAAGGAGCCTGAGAGTGACCAGAAAGGTAGGAGAATCTTTGAAGATTGTGACCTCACAGAAGCCAAGGGAAGAAAGTGTTTGAAAGAAGAAATGGCTTGGACAACAGAAACAGATGCTGAAGAGAGCTCGAATGGGATTAGAATTGGAAAGTACAGTAGGTCCCACTTACCTGTGAGGGATACGTTCGGAGACGGCCAGTACATGCCTGAAACTGCGGATAGTACTGAACCCTATACTGTATATACTATTTTTTCCTAGACCTGCATACCTATGATACAGATTAATTTATAAATTAGGCACAGTAAGAGATTAACTACAACTGATAATAAAATAGAATAATTATAGCAATATGCCACCATCACTACTCTTGCACTTTGGGTCCATCATTAAGTAAAATAAGTATTACTTGAACACAAGCATTGTGATTCCGCAATAGTCAAATCAGATAACTAAGACAGCTAAGTGACTAATGGGTGGGTAGCATGTACAGCATAGATACTACTTAGAATGGCATGTAGAACACAAGCATTGTGATTCCGCAATAGTCAAATCAGATAACTAAGACAGCTAAGTGACTAACGGGTGGGTAGCATGTACAGCATAGATACTACTTAGAATGGCATGTCATTTAAAACTTATAAATTGTTTATTTCTGGAATTTTCCATTTAATATTTTCTGACCGTGGTTGACCACAGGTAACTGAAACTACAAAAAGCAAAACCGCGGATAAGGGGGAGCTACTGTATTTCTTGGATTTAAGGAGCCACTTTAGTGGAATGGTGAAGACTGAAGCCAAAAATAGTTGGAGAAATGAATGCTAGGTAGACAATTCTTTTTAAAAGCCTGATCATGGAAGAGTTGAGAAAGAAGGCGATAAATTGTGAGAGAGCTTAAAGAAAAATAAGATATGTGATTTTTATTTTACCATAATTTTCTATGCTTTTTCAAGTCCTACCCTCTTCAGAGATTTGATATCGCTTCTGCTTTTATTGAGGATTCTTTAAGTATCTTTCACTATAAACATGTACGTACATATACACATATATAAAATACTTTAATCCATCTGGAAATTATTTTGATGTATCTTATATATTCTAAATAACTAATTATTATAAGACCATTTTATGTTGGCCAGTGGACAACCCACCAGAACCAACTCACATCGAAAAGTGATTGTGCTTTTGACCTTGCTCTGTTTACATGTGGGTCTCATACTTTTGATCCCTAATCATCCATTTATAGTTTACTTCCTAGCATAATGTAGGGGTTTCTTAGGTGAGTATCCTGTGTTCTCTCTTACAGGATGTGACTGTGTTCCTGCCAGAGTGGGAGGATGGCCATTTTTACCTTGCCAAATACTATGACAAATTGATGCCTATGGTCACAGACAACAAAATGGAAAAGCAGGGTGATCTCATCCGGTATATAGTCCTTCATTTTGGAAGGTGAGTGTTAAAACCGCGTGTTTGCAGATTAAATATGTCAGGATAACTGTTACTATTAAGCAGTTATCCCATATTTTAGCATATTCAGAATGTTTTCTGCTTTAGCACTAATTTAATCTATCACTTTAGATGTAAATTTTTTCTTTATGTAATTTTTTCACTTTTAAAATTAACTTTTAATGGAAAATTAATATATGCATATATTACTTAAAAATTCAACAGTACCAAGAAATATACAAAGAAAATTAAGTATCTTTATTTCAGACCCTCACCCTCTGAGTCCCCATTCGTAGAATTCCAGAAGACCCTAAATCTAATACATTCAGTGGTCATATTTAATTGCAGTAGATTATTTCCTACCAGCCATTCCAATAGGAAGTAGTATATGAATTTAACATTAGACTTGTCGAAAGAGCATATTCTGAAACTAGATAACAGATGAAATATAACTTTAATGTCTCGTGCCCACTGTTTATATTTTTAAAAATTATCAATTCCTTATAAGTAATAGTGACATTCCATACATTCTCTTTACCATACTCATGTACCATTGCTTTACATTGAAAATTATCTTACTTCAAGAGCAATAAGTCTACTAAAATAGCCTATTATTATCAGGTATTGTGACTTCTCAGTTAAATATTTTTAGGAACTAAAGCAACATTTGTTCATCTGTCAGTAGTATTAGGATAGGAAGATTTAGCCAAGTCTTTCTTCCCAAAATGAAATTTTATAAGATCCAAAGCTAATATTACTCATTAATGATTATTAGTGGCTTGTTACTGGTGGAAAATTCCTGGACTATTGGCATTTTGAAATGGGAACATAAGCGGAGAACAATTATTAAATGCACTTTTTCTTTTCTAAAATGGCTTTATTTTAGAAAATAGTGATAGCTATTTCATAGCTTTATTTCATTTGCTCTTTAGTCTTAGTATATATCACATACCTTGGGATATGGAATTTATATAATACATTTCTTCTAAAACAAGTAGTTATTTAAAGTCCCCTATGTGCATAAGACTGTTAGAGACAGGGTGTGCATAAGACTGTTAGACACAGGGTGAGGGCGCAAATCTGAGGTCAAAACTTAAGCCACTGGCTTCATGATTTCAGAGGTATACCTCTTTGCTCTGCATTGCTACAGAAGTCTGGTAGGCCTTATGAAGAAGGTACCAGCAAACTAATTTTTTCTTTTTTTTTGGCAGCTGGCTAGTATGGGTATCCAAACCCTTGACCTTGGTGTTATGACACCATACTCTAACCAACTGAGCTAACAGCCAGCCTTAGAAAACTGAATTTAACAGCACATTAAAAGGACCATCCACTACGATCAGGCAGAATTTATCTCAGGGATGCAAGGATGGTTCAGCATGTGCAAATCTATAACTGTGATACACCACATTAACAGAATAAAGGACAAAAAACATATGATCATCAAAATAGATAAAAAAAAAGCATTTGACAATATTTAATACCCTTTCATGATAAAAACTCTCAAAAAATTAGGCATAGAAGGTATGTACCTGAACACTATAAAGATCATATATGACAAACCCACATTTAACATCATACTCAATGGTGAAAAATTCAAAGCTTTTCCTCTAAGATTAGGAACAAGACAAGGGTGCCTACTCTTGCCACTTCTATTCAACATACTACTAGAAGTTCTAGCTAGAGTAGTTAGTAATAATTAGCCAATAATAAATAATAAAAATTTAAAAAATAAAGCATGATTTTAGCAAACAGATTTTTTTTTTCCTTTTTATCTTTTTTACTGACCGGTAACGGGATTGCAACCCTTGGTGTTGCACCCGCACCGCGCTCAACCAGTGAGCGGGAACCGGTCTCCACATGGGATCCGAACCCTCGGTGGGAGCGCCGCCACGCTCTCAGATGGCGTACTCTCCAGTGCGCCACCAGGCCGGCCCGCAAACAGATATTTTTTTAAAAAGAAAAGAAATAAAAGACATCCAAATTGGAATAGAAGAAGTTAAATTGTCCTTGTCTGCAGACACATGATCTTATTGAAAACCCTAAAGACTCTAACAAAAACCTATTAGAACTAATAATGAATTCAGGAAAGTTGCAAAATGTGAAATCAAAAGTCAGTATCATTTCTATACACCACAACAAATTATCCAAAAAATAAATCAAGAAAACAATGTCATTTACAATAGCTACCAAAAACAAAAACAAAAACAATACCCTAGGAATAAATTTAACCAAGGAGGTAAAAGATCTCTATAATGAAAACTATAAAACACTAATGAAAGAAATTAAAGGGGACACAAAAAATGGAAATATATTCAACATTCGTGGATTGGAAGAATTAATGTCAAAATGACCCTGCTGCCCAAAGCAATCTACAGATTCAATGCAGTCCCTTTCAAAATACCAATGACATTCTTCATAGAAATAGAAAAAACATCTAAAATTCATATGGAACCACAAAAGACCCCAATAACCTATGTCCTGTTGAGCAAAAAGAACAAAGCTGGAGGCATCACACTACCTGATTTCAAAATATACTACAAAGTTATGTAATCAAAACAGCCTGGTACTGGTATAAAAACAGACATATAGGCCATTGGAACAGAATAGAGCCCAGGAATAAATTCACACTTTATGGTTAATTGATTTTTGGCAAAGGTGCCAAGAACACACAATGGGGAAAGGACAGTCTCTTCATAAATGATGTTGGGACAACTTGATATGCATGTGCAGAAGAATGAAATTAGATTCTCACACCATATACAAAAATCAACTCAAAGTGGATTAAAGACTAAATATAGGACTTGAAATTATAAAACTATTTGAAGCAGACATAGAGGAAAACTCCATGACATTGGTCTGGGCAATGATTTTTTGGATGTGAACCAAAAGGCACAAGCAACAAAAGCAAATACAGACAAGTGGGATTAAACTAAAAAGCTTCTGCACAGCCAAGGAAACAACAGAATGAAAAGACAACCTATGGAACAGGAGAAAGTATTTGCAAACCATACGTCTGATAAGGGATTAATAGCCAAAAAATGTAAGGAACTCAAACAACTCAATAGTAAGAAAACAACATGGCTTAAAAAAAGAAGACAAAAATGGCCAACACAGGTATGTGGAAAAATGTTCAATATCACTAATCATCAGAGAAATGCAGGTTAAAACCCCAGTGAGATATCTCACACCTGTTAGAATGGCTTTATCAAAAAGATGGAAGATAGCAGATATTAGAGAGGATATGGAGAAAAGGGAATCTTTGCACCCTGTGGGAATGTAAATTAGTATAGACATGATGGAAAACAGTATAGACAATCCTCAAAAATTAGAAATAGAACTACTTTATGATCCAGCAATTCCAATTATGGGTATATATCCAAAGGAAATGAAATCAGTATGTCAAGAGATATCTCCACTCCCATGTTCATTGCAGCATTATTCACAATAGTCAAGCTATGGAATCAACCTAAGTGTCCATCAACAGATGAATGCATTAAGAAAATGTGATACATATATACAATGGAACACTATTCATCCTTAAAAAAGTAGGAAATCCTGTCATTTGCGACAACATGGATGAACCTGGTGGACATTAAGTGAAATAAGTCAGGCATAGAATAACAAATGCCACATAACCCCACTTATGTGTGGAATTTTAAAAAGTTGAACTCATAGAAGTAGAATTCTGGTTACTGCAGTGGCAGAGGGTGGGATGGTTGGGAAAATGGTCAAAGGATATAAATTTTCATTTAGATAGGAGGAATAAGTTCAAGAGATCTACTGTACAATGTGGTGACTAGTTAACAACATGTATTCTTGAAAACTGCTAAGAGAATAGATTTTAAGTTTTCTCAACACAAAAAATATATGTACATGACATAATACATATGTTAATTAGCTTGATTTTGGCATTCTATAATGTATGCATATTTCAAAACAACATGTATGTAATATATACAATTTTATTTATCAATTTGAGTAAATAAATTAAATGTTAAACAAAATCATCATGTTGTACACATTAAAAAAAACACAAACTTGCAGCTCTCCTAATTTCTGGGGAAACAAATCCTGACAAAACAAGGGGGAAAAATCCCCTCCTCTTATAGTTGCAGAAAAGCTGTCATAAAACTTCCCCTGCAGGTCTCAAAAAGATATTTGTACACCCATGTTCATAGCACCGTTTTTCACAATATCTGAAACACAGAAGGAACCCAAGTGTCCATTAAGGGATGAATAGATAATCAAAATGTAGTATATCCATATTATTCAGACTTTAAAAGGAAGGAGATTCTGACACATGCTACAACATGGGTGAACCAATATCTGAAACACAGAAGGAACCCAAGTGTCCATTAAGGGATGAATAGATAATCAAAATGTGGTATATCCATATTATTCAGACTTTAAAAGGAAGGAGATTCTGACACATGCTACAACATGGGTGAACCTTTGAGGACATTATGCTAAGTGAAAAAAGCTGGTCACAAAAGGACAAGTACTGTATGATTCCACTTATATGAAGTACCTAGAATGGTCAAATTCATAGAGACAGAAAATAGAATTGTGTTTGTCAGCGCCTGGAGGGAGGGGGAATGAGGAGTTAGTGGTTAATATGTACCGAGTTTCAGTTTGAGATCAAAAAGTTCTGAAAACAGATGGTGATGGTGGTTGCAAACAGTGTGAATGTACCACTGAACTGTACACTTAAAAAATGTTTAAGATGGTAAATTTTATATTATATGTATTTTACCATAGTAAAAATCTTACTATGGTAAAATAAAATAAGCTGATGTTCTGACCTCAAAAAAAAAATTCAAGAAGGAGAAGACATTACCAATTTTTCATAGATTTGACGAGAAATAGGGTTGAGTGGTTTTTCACAGGATGGTGAGGAAAGTAAACTTGATGGAAGATGTATCCTAGTGAGTAGTGAGAGACTAAGACTGGAAAATGATGGAGACACAAGATTGTGAATATTTGAATCCCAGGCAGTCATTCATAGAGTCTTAATCTGTAGGTAAGAGATTCCTGTTTTTGAACAGGGAGAGAGCATGGTAAAGCCAAAATTTTGGGAATTTTAGTTTAGAATTTATTGAAGAGAAGAAATGTGGAATTAGGATGACCAAGTTATTGTAATTTCCCAGAAATGGAATGATTAGGCCTGACAAAGGCTTACGGCCATGGAATGCAAATGAAGGCACAGATCCTAAGGATAATTTGAAAGTATTATTGACAGGTCTTTGACTAAGTCAGAACTTGTATAATTTTGGTACAGGCAATATAGAGCTAAGTGAGAAATACAGTAAAAAAAAGAGAGGAGTCAAAAATAACCTCTACTAGGAAGAAATATTGACACCATAATTTTTGTCAGAAGGCTATATATAACTGAAGTGGTAATTTAAGTCTTTAAATTTTAATTCATAAATGTAAAAATAACACTATGTTAATAATATTTTGTATCTGTATAATTGCAGATCTCTACAGTATGGAAATCAATTTATATATCAGTCAATGCCACGAATGTTATCACTATGGCTTGATTTCGGTGCTAAGGCATACGAATGGGAAAAAGGTATAACTTCACGTAAAAATTTTGAGGGACTAAGAAGAATTACAACTGGCATAAAGTCAGATACGGCTTGACAATCTAATTTATTAAAAGCTAGGAATGCTTTTCATAATTAAAATGGTATATAAATGGGAGCAAGAAACTACATGTTTAAAAAAAGAAGGGAAAGACAAATCATAGACTTTTTAAGTAGTTGCAATTCAGGGCCTACAAGTGAAAATCTGATTATTTCTTGATGAACCTAATAGGTATCTAAAAATGCTAGTTAATAATTTACCTTAAAAATTACAATGGATAGTGGAAATTAATGGCCCTTGGGTTTTTCAATGGCCCTAAATATTTTTCCTACTTGGACAGAGGTAACTGTCTCTTTGCAAATTGCCAAGTGATTTAGCTTTAAGCTTGGGAATAACATATTTTAAAGCTATTTTTAAAACAAAATTTTTCTTCTGTGAAATGAATTGATATACTGTTTGTTTTTTTTCCCCCTTTTTCTCTATTGTTTTTTAAACTGGTTTTTCTCCCCCAGCTGGCCGCTCTGATCGTGTACAAATGAGAAATGATTTAGCTAAAATAAACAAGGTTATCACAGAACACACAAATCATTTAGCTCCGTATCAGTTTTTGACTGCTTTTTCACAATTGATCTCTCGAATCTGTCATTCTCATGATGAAGTTTTTGATGTCTTGATGGAAATAATAGCCAAAGTGTTTCTGGCCTATCCTCAGCAAGCAATGTGGATGATGACAGCTGTGTCAAAGGTATGTATTAATCACCACAGTGTCTTTTACCATTTTACATGGCATTAATTATTTAATGCTAATATGTAGACACAAGTTCCATGGTTTCTCTTCTATATTAACTTTCTTTTTATGTTTTATTTATTTATTTGTATGGTACATTTTTTTTATTGGTTACGAATATTCATGAGATACAAGCTGATTGTCACCACTCGTGCCCAGGGTGTGATGGCCAGAGTCATACTGGCAGCATGCCCATTACCGCAAATTGCAATTATACCTCATGTCCCCCACCCAATTATTCCTGACCTCTCTCCCCATCCCACTCCCCCCCACTCCACTTTGTATCCCCAGGTATGCTTTCTCCAAGTTCCATAAGTTTCTCCAAGCTCATTTGTGTTGTTGCAAATAGGAGAATTTCATTTTTTTTTTTTTTATGGCAGAGTAGTATTCTATGGTGTATATATACCACTTTTTCCTTATCTAGTTGTCCGTCGATAGACATTTAGGTTGATTCCATATCTTGGCAATTACTTTTTTTAAATATGCAAATTATAGCATTATATCACATTTTAATGTTTGGAGCTATTTACCATATGAAATGAAGTGATAAGTGTGTTTAAGATCAAAGAATTCAGCATGTGTTTTCTTTATGAAGTCCAGTAAACTGTTAGTGCTTGGTGTAAAATGGTAAACCTATTTTCTTCCAAGTGTTTTAATCCAAAGTACTTGAACTATTAATACTAAAAAATGTTTATTGCATTATTAATGGAAATTTGTAAATTGATCAATATAAGTACTTTTTTAGAGAATTTAGAAAATACACAGATATATAGACAAAAATTAAAATTCATACTTTCTACCAGTCATTAATATTTTGATGTAATTTTGTACCTTAATATTTTGTACATTTATATATTAATTATGTATATTTTGTATATTAATATTTTATATGTACATTTTCTAAGCATATTTTAGCACACTAAATTTAGATTATTAACATATCATATCATATTTTTCACTTAAGATTGTTCCCAATTGTTAAATATTCTTTGATGATTCGATTTTAGTAATTATATAAAATTTTTAAATACCTTTTTGTAATTTATTTATCTATTTAATTGATCATTAAGGTTATTTCTATTTTTTTTTTTTTGCTATTATATTACATCTAGATACATTGATATTTATTCTCCTTTGTGATTATTTTTTCAGGGTAGATGCCAAGAAGGGAATTAACCATGTCATAGGATAGCAAAATTTTAATGTGTCTTGATGGCATTGCCAAATTGAATTCAAGAAAATTTGTATCTGAATAAACTCTTATCGTGAATACTTTTTAAGCTGATTTTTGTTAATCAAAAATTTAGTTATATTTTTTAAATCTTGTGTAAAATTTCATTTAAATCTTTTTTCCGACAGTCTTCTTATCCCATGCGTGTGAACAGATGCAAGGAAATCCTAAATAAAGCTATCAATATGAAAAAATCCTTAGAAAAGTTTGTTGGAGATGCAACTCGCCTAACAGATAAACTTCTAGAATTGTGCAATAGACCGGTACTGTTATGAATCTTATTGCTTATAGACCAATGTTGGATAATTTTATACAAAACTTATGATCTCAGCTGTTTTTATTTGATTTGATTAAATTAAAATTCTGACAAATATAGGTATATGCATATTTCAAAATTTATCAAATTGTGGGCCGGCCCGGTGGCGCGCTGCTGCAGTGCGCTGCTTGGGAAGCGCGGCGGCGCTCCTGCCGAGGGTTCGGATCCCACATACAGACCGGTTCCCGCTCACTGGCTGAGCGAGGTGCAGGGAGCAACACCGAGGGTTGCGATCCCGTTGCCGGTCCCGGGCCGGTACGGGCGCGACACTGAGGGTTGCGATCCGTTGCCAGTCATGAAAAAAGACAAAAAGGAAAAAAAAAAATTTATCAAATTGTATACTTTAAATATGTACAATTTATCTTAATCTGTTTTTAAAATTGCTAACATATGTCCCACTTCCAAATATCCTTTGCATTTCTAAAAGTTCTTAATGTGAATTTTCTGAGTAGATTATCCATATTTCTCAGAAATGATTTTAAGTAGAGGATATGAAATAAGCCATAAAAATATAAATAGGTAAAATAAAGTTATTTAAAGTAGTCTCTATGACAGTCTCTCTTGAACATCTTTGAACTTTCAAAACTTGTATACATTAACTTACACATATGATAGGAAAGAAGGTCGGGGCTTTGGTTTTCATTCTTTCAGTACACATTTCATTGTCAACAAGGGGACAAGCACTGTGCAAAGGGAAACAAAGATGAGTATGACATGTTCTCATAGTCCTGTAGGGAACTAAGCATATGGTAATTATCTAGAGTAATAAGTACTTCTTTCAATAGACTTGAGGCTAATGTAGGAACATGTTTACAGGAGTGACTCACTATTCTGCCTAAGGAATTGGAGGGAAAAACCCTAAAGAATGTGTAGGAAAGGTAAAAGTGGGGAGTGAAGGTGGTTGTAAGGAGGGAGAGAGAGACTCTTCATAAGGTAAATAGCTAGATTTCACTTGACAAGTATTCAATGTCTATAAACTGTTTATAGGTGAAAAGATACAGACTACCCTATCACTTCCCTTCCCTTCATCAATAAACATCTCAAAAGGCTAATCTACTTTTGCTATTTCCATTAATCCTATTTGACCTCTGATGTATTTGACGTTCTCACAAACAATGTTATAATGATGGCCAACATTTGTTAAACACTGGCAGTGTTCTAAGTGCTTTACATGTACAGGTTGCCAGTTCTTTATATGAAACCTTTGTGTTAAGCTACACTTAGGAATTCAGAATTTTTCAGATTTTTAAAGGTAATAACGGTGCACATACTTTATATTAGATATTACCACTGAATATCTGTTAGAATGTCACATAATCAAACACATAACTGTTCCTACGGTGAAATATATTGACCTTTACAGTAAGAAGTTCAGGTTTCATTTTGCTGCCAGATGAGATTTGGTACAAAAAAAAAGGAGTTCGATTTACAGAGCTTTTTGGATTTTCTAATGTCTGATAATAGATATTGTAAAAGTGAAATTTTTGTTGGGGTTGAAGTTAAACATTCTATAATTCAAGGTAAACACAGAGACATTAAAATGTACTACTTTTTTTTCAGGTTGATGGAAGTAGTTCTACATTAAGCATGAGCACTCATTTTAAAATGCTTAAAAAGTTGGTAGAAGAAGCAACATTTAGTGAAATCCTCATTCCTTTGCAGTCAGTCATGATACCTACTCTTCCATCAATTCCAGGTGCCCATGCTAACCATGAGCCATTTCCTGGGCATTGGGCCTATATTGCAAGCTTTGATGATACGGTAAACTTCAGTTTTATATGACTGTAACATGATTTTAAATTTTAATTAAGTTAAAAACTTCAAATTTAGCTGAAAAGCATTTTTTTTTTTCAGAATCTGTGAATTTTATTTGTATAGAAAAAAATACTTGGAAATACAGAAAAGTAAAACTTGTTCTGATGGGACAAAATTCGGTGATAAAAATCTCATGTTCACTGTAATATTTTGATTTTTTCATCTACCTATATTGTTTTAGTCTGACTATGATAAGTACTTGTATTGCTGATGAAGTAATCTTTCTACGTCATAGTCATTCCTAATGGGTGAAAATGTCTTTCTGTTCACAGGCAACCATTCTTTTCAGACATCATAGATAAGTAAGAGAAAAGAAATTGCTAAAATACAAATTTACTTATATAATGTAGTTTATTATATTCTCTCCTTTTATTATGTTATATAACTCAATATTATATCTAGACATTTAAACAAAGAATTTGGGCCTTAATTTGTATATAACTTATATCATCTTTTAGGTGGAGATTCTTTCTTCTCTTCAGAAACCAAAGAAGATCTCTTTAAAAGGCTCAGATGGAAAGTTTTACATCATGATGTGTAAGCCAAAAGATGACCTGAGAAAGGATTGTAGACTAATGGAATTCAATTCCTTGATTAATAAGGTTTGGAGATAATTTGCTTTCATTTTAGAATTTCTATAATTATTATCAATGTGATATATAGGCTTTTTGGTATGCGAATAGATCACTCTTAAGATGGAATTCAATTCCTTGATTAATAAGGTTTGGAGATAATTTGCTTTCATTTTAGAATTTCTGTAATTATTATCAATGTGATATATAGGCTTTTTGGTATGCGAATAGATCACTCTTAAAAAGAGGAAATGAAATGTACTATCTTTTCCATTTTCACTTAATTTTCTTGTGATAAAATGTATACAACATAAAATTTACCATTTTAACCATTTTTAAGTATATAATTCATTGGCATTAGGTATATTCCTTTTGTCATGCAACCATCAACACTATCCCTTCCAGAACTTTTTTTCATCTTCCCAAATTGAAATTCCGTATCTATCAAACAATTATTCCCCATCTATCAAACAATTATTCCCCATTTCCTTTTCCCCCAGCCTCTGGCAAATATCATTCTACTTTCTGTCTTCATGAATTTGACCATTCTAGTTTCCTCGTGTAAGTGGTATTTGTCCTTTTTTGACTAGCTTATTTCACTCGGCATTATGTCTTCAAGGTTCATTCATTTTATAACCATTAGCGGGCTGGCCTGTTAGCTCACTTGGTTAGAGCATGGTGTCGATAACACTAAGGTCAAGAGTTCAGATTCCCTTACCATCCAGCCACCAAAAAAAGAAAAAGAAAAACCCATTAGGATGTTCTTCTGAGATGCTTGAGTGTTTTTCTGGTTCAAGTATCAAGTGGCCTTGCTTTAGTTTGTAAATTTAACTTAATTGGTTTTGTTACTTTGATTAAGGTATTTCATTAGTGTCCCCTCTCATTAACATGGTCGAGTTTGTGAAAAACTACAGTTTCACTATGTTAGCCTTGGAGGCCACACACTGATCTTTACGTGAGATTCTAATGCCATACTGTTTTCCTGGCATATATGGAACCTACTTTTTCTTAAAGTTTAAAGCGTGTTTTTGGTCAGTGATTGCACTTTTGAATTGAAAAAATTATAGTTATAGATGTTTGCTTAGTTTCCTTCATATAGTTCTAGAATTAAATATAATACTGTTTTTCTTTATCTAATATATCAGGATTAATAAGATAAGACAAGTAAGCTTTCTTCTGATAGAGAATAACTTTTGAAATAAATCTGTGATAAACTGCAACAGTAAGAAATACATTTCGAGTATGTCATAGAACTAACTCTTGTTTATGTCTTTTTGAGATGATCAGAATTAAACAGCAGTCTCTGTGCCTAAGGACTTAAGGTTTCAGTAATATCTGTAAAGCAATAGAAAATAAAACATCAGTATTTTGTCATGTTAATTATATAACTAGAGTATCTAACACAATATTCTTGTGACATTAATAATGAATAATTTAAAAGAAGGACTTACCCAAGGCATTTTTAATTATTCGAAAATAGATTAGGAATCTGATTAGCAGTTTCCTTACCTACCGTTTGGAAGAATTATTCATCTATACCACATAGTAAGCCTTCATTGACATTCTTTTGCTATGAAATGAACAATTAGATTACATTTGATTAGAATAATTAGATATATTAGATATATATCTAAATAAGATATTTAGATATATTAGATACAACATTTAGAAATTTTGAATTCTATTCTTTTTTTAAATTTATGTGTATTTTTTTTAATAGTGCTTAAGAAAAGATGCAGAATCTCGTAGAAGAGAACTTCATATCCGAACATATGCAGTTATTCCACTGAATGATGAATGTGGGATTATTGAATGGGTAAACAACACTGCTGGCTTGAGACCTATTCTGACCAAACTATATAAGGAAAAGGGTACTAAAATTAATTTTTATGATCTAAGTATATAATATGGGTTATAATAGCTATTAACATATATAATATGTTTATAATTGTTATTAACATATACCAACATACGTTTTTTAGTATAAGCCATAGTGAAATTTCTAGATTCTATATATAGAAGTTTCTATATATGTGTGTTTTCTTTCCTTCCCTCCTTGTGTTTTTATTCCTTCCCTATCTTCATCCCAAAAGGATTTGAGGTAGCTTACAAAAATGTGTATAAAAATTTGTTTTTCACAGGTATCAGTTAGCAATTCTGAAAGTACTTTATGTATATACTAGTCTTTAATGAATAAGTAAATATATTGCAGATAATGAGAGCTACTTTTCTCACTGTCAAAGAAAGAAAAGGAAAGAGAATACTAGAACGAAACCTGAAGTGTTAGATTAGAAGAAGGGGTTCCCACTGTCTAAACCTGGTATGACTGAGCAACAAAGTAAATAATAACAGTAATTGATTATAACTCATGGAGTAAAATAGACATTAGTCTATACTGATAAAAAAGGATACTTGAGTAAATAAATAAATAGGGAAGTAGGAACAGTTCTTCCTTACAGTAGAGCTGCAATGAATAGATGTAGAAGGACTGATGGGAATAGAAAATCACCAGTTAGCAAATGCCAGAGCAATAATTGTTACAAGCAGTGATTATCAATGGATGCTAAAAATAATAGGCAAAATATGATGAGATTATTGGCAGAGTCTCAAAGTATCTTTCCATAAGATGCTTATTAATTATAATGAGAAAAATATAGTAACTTTACAGTGGAGAAACAAAAGTATAATTGGTGAGAACTCTCAAAAAATGTCAAAGTACTAAAAGACGAAGAAGTTTCCCAGATTTGATGACATTAAGGAGACATGATAAGTGAATGCAGTGTTGAATCCTGGATTGGATCCTGGCCCAGAAAAAGGGCAAGTGGGACAATTGGTGAAATTTGAATCAAGTCTGAAGGTTAGTTAATAATACAGCAATAAGAATTTCCTGGCTTAAATAATTTCACTATTGTTATAAAACATATGAACATTAAGGAAAGCTGGGCAAATAATATACGGGAACTATCTGTATCATTTATGTAATTTTTTGTAAGTCTAAAATTATTTCAAAATAAAACATTTTTTAAATGCCTGTGATGCAATATATTAAATAGATCAGGTTATCAGACTGCAGCAACTGCAGTAGAAGATAAGTGTATTAGTTTCCCAGGAGTGCCATAACAAAGTACCGTAAACTAGGTGGCTTTAAACAAAGAAATTTATTATCTCACAGTTCTGGAGGCTAGAAGTTCAAAATCAGGGTGTCAGGAGGACTATGATCTCTCTGAAAGCTCATGTTCCTTTCCTTTCTCTTAGTTTCCGGTATTCCTTGGCTTGTGGATGTATCACATCACTCTGCCTCTGTTATCACATAGTGTTCTTCCTATGTCTCTGAGTCTCTGTTTTCTCTTCTTATAAGGACAGTAGTCATTGGATTATTGAATTAAGGGCCTGCCATATCTTAAACTGATTAACTCTGCAAAGACCCTATTACCAAATGAGGTCCCATTCATAGGTACCAAGGGTTAGGACTGCAACATGTTTTTTTGAGTGATATAGTTCAATCCATAACCACAAGTAATATTGATATATTACTATATTATGGGTATTGAGCTAGGTATGTTATATACAATATTTTATTTATTATTGTTTAACAAGCCTAATTATCCCTATTTTATGGTCAGTGCCTGAGAAGTTAAGTAACACGTCCAAGTTCACATGGCTAATATGTTGCAGAATTGAAACTCAAACACACTTGAGTTGGATTTCAAGGAACTTGCTGTTGACTATTTTATTTATGAGGATGAAAAATTGTATCAGTTTTAGTTATTGCTCTTGGCTTTTTAAAAAAAATATTTTCCATCTTATGAACTCAGTTGAACAACATTTGAGGCTGAAAACCTCAAATCGTAAGCTTGTTTGTAAAACAACTGTTTCCTCAGATGATTTGTATTCTACAGGATTAGTTTAAGAATCAGTAATACTATGAGTTTTTACAGGCTAGCCTTCACATAAAATAAATCATTTCAGACCACCAATGTGGGTTTCTTAGTAATGGTTCAGTTCGGACCTATACTATATCCTGATTAACAGAGAGATCACTATAATTTTAGCGAGGGCTACAACATTTTCACACTTCAAGGGGCACCATTGACAATGTATTTATTCTTAGTCTTATATTTTGGAGTTATTTGACTCCACAATATTGGTTTTAGTTGACATTAATTTTCATTAATAAAGGGCTGGCTGGTTAGCACAGTTGGTTAGAGTGCAGCCTTATAACACCAAGATCATGGGTTTGGATCTCTGCACCAGCCAGCCACCAAAAATAATTTTTTTTCACTAGTAAGAAGCTTCACTTTGAATAAGTATTAAGGGAAGATAATGTGGTTTGTTTATTTTATTATAATATCAGATAGTAAGTTTATGTATATGTAACTGAAAATTTTCCATTTACTCTTGTTTTTGAATAACAATTTGAATCTAAGTAGACATTTACTGTTATACCTTAACAAAAAAATTTTTGGCTCTTTTAATTTTATTTTTTGAATCGAAATTGATTATACATATTTTGGGGGTTCAATATTGAGATATATTGATCAAATCATTATTACTAGCATATATATTGTTACAAATTGTAATTATTCTTTATGCCCTTGTCCAATCTCTCACTCCCTTCCTCCTCCCCCCTCTAATTACACTAGATTTCTTCTCCCCTTGTGAAAGAATAATGGTTACTCTGTTAATTTGTTGCCTAGATGATCTGTCCAATGCTGAGAGGTGTGATCAGGTCCCCCAATATTATCATAAAGCAGATGCTTCTTCTGTCACTCTGAAATGGGCTTTGTGGAGAGAGACATCCTCTTCTTTTCTTTATCTCTGCTGGCGACTCTCCTTGTGTCAATGCACTGCAGTGGTTGGCAGACCATCTGTGTGGTGGTTGTGGTGTCTAGCCGCTTTCACGGCAGCCATGGTTATTGTGGTGGGTGTGGTGGGCCACCCACTTGTAGGTGATATTTGTTGCATGCTCCTTGGTGCTGGCAGTGTGCCTGGTTGTGGGAGGGGAGTCCGGTCCCCTTCTCCATGACACGGGTCCCCAGGCAGGCCCCAAGGCACTGGCATGGTGTGCCTAGTTGTGGGAGGAGGGTCTAGTCCCGTTTCCTTGCCTCAGGTCTCCAGGCGAGCCCCAAGGCACTGGCGCGGTGTGCCCGGTTGTGAGAGTGGGGTCTGGTCCCCTTGTCCATGCCCCAGGTCGCTGGGCAGGCCCTGAGGCGCTGGTGGTGTGCCTGGGCCAGAACTAATTTTTTGTCCTTTGCTTACTTCTAAAATGAGGAAACTTCCTATGGGAACCTGTACTTGAACTGTGTGGTTGAATTAAATTGCTGCTTTGCTGCTGTTTCCCTAGGGAAGGCTTTTTGTGAAGCTCAGGGTTTAATGGTTGGCCTTATAGGTACTTTCGGCTCTCCAGAGACCTGGTGGATCTTTGTTGTATAGAATCACTGATCTGGGCCGAGTTTTTTCATCAAACTGCACTCCATGCAATTCTGCATTCCTGACCAGTCTCCTCTGAGTGGTCCTACGCTGATTGGGGGGCAGATCGGCTGTGCTTGCTGTGCCCCAGTGTTCTCCCTGTGGGCCTGTCTCCCCCACTGCCCATGCTTTAAACACTTCCCATTGGATGGGCCCTGCGCTGGTCCCTTGTGATGACTCACTGGCCTCCGAATGGCTCCCTTTTCTTACTTGTTCTGGTTTCTCGGTCCTGCATAGGTCCATGGGAACCCTATTAGTGGTCTTGCTGTCCTGGGGGCCACCAAGGCCATCTTCTCCCGTGCCGCCTCCAAGTAACTCCATCTGAAGGACACAGCTGCAGCTTCTGCCGGCTCCTGCTCCATGCGCTCATTAGCTCGAGCCTTAAAGCGGCCGTAGCCCAAAATGCTCAGAGCAGCTGATCGTGGTTTCTCTGGCCTTCATGAATTCCATAGGTCTCTCCTCTTCCCTTGAGCTCCAGCAGCCCCAGCTTGGCTGATGTTACATTTTTATAGTTGTAAATTGGTTGATTTGTGGCTGATGTTACATTTTTATAGTTGTAAATTGGTTGATTTGTGGGAGAGAGTGATGCTGGGAACCATCCATTCCACCTTCTTGACCAGAACTTCCCCCATTTTGACTCTTTTCTTACTTGGTTTGTGTTATTAATGGAAATCATTCTGCCTTGCAGGAGTGTATATGACGGGAAAGGAACTTCGCCAGTGTATGCTACCAAAGGCAGCGGCTTTGTCTGAAAAACTCAAAGTATTCCGAGAATTTCTCCTGCCCAGGCATCCTCCTGTTTTTCATGAGTGGTTTCTAAGAACATTCCCTGATCCTACATCATGGTAAGTTACCAAGAATATAATAAATTGTTATGGTTGAAATGTTTAGTATTAATATTTTGGATTTATGTTATCTCATATGACGTAAGGATATTTGATTGGCATTGTGTTTCATTTAGGTACAGTAGCAGATCAGCATATTGCCGTTCCACTGCAGTAATGTCAATGGTTGGTTATATCCTGGGGCTTGGAGACCGTCATGGTGAAAACATCCTCTTTGATTCTTTGACTGGTGAATGTGTACATGTGGATTTCAACTGTCTTTTTAATAAGGTATGTGATATGACTTCCTCTAGTTAATTGTCTGTTTTCTCCCAATTTCCTTTCTTCAACAGCTCTTCTTACTATTTATACCTATTGTTAGCAGTTATACTCAAAGCTGAGTCACATTGAGAGTTTGTTGCCTAGTTTTTATCGGTGGACTCCATAATAAAGCAACTTAGGAGGGAGAGAACTTAGAAGAGTGATATAATAAACCTAGCACTGAACTTGAAGTCTAAAATCACAGCTTCAAGTTCTGACTCAATGACTTATTAGTTATGTGAACATGGGCAGATCGGTTCATTTTACTGAGACTCAGAGAGACAGAGTAGTCTAATATGATGGTTTCCAAATCTGGCAGCATATCAGAATTATCCAAGAGTTAAAAAAAAAAAAAAAACAGATACCTAGGAAACATCCCAGGAGAATCTTATTCTGTAGGTCCAGAGTGGGGCCTGGGAATAAATTAAGGCAAGTGGACTCATCTTTAAGGCCTGCTATAATTTTCAAATGTTATGATGTTGGAGGGCAGACTGGTAGGTTAGCCCACAATTTTCTTCAACCTCATATTCTGTGGGTTGCCTTGTGCTGTCGCAGGAACTCAAGAAAGGCCATAGACCCAGTTGAGAACAAATCAGAGATAAGCTGCTGGTATAGATTAAATCATGCAAGAGAGGAATTTATGGTAGCTAATTGGAGAGTTGAAAGGCCCTGAGGAAAGGCAGGTTAGAGAATAGTAGAGAATAAACTGACTTCATTATATGACATGTTTTATTTCCTGCCTCATGGATGTGAGCATCTAATGTTTGGCAGTTTCTTTTCCCCACCTGTTTTAAAGTGAAAGTCTTAAAGAAAAGAAAAATATGAGGATATTTGTTTGTATTTCACATTATTTAAGAAAGATATTAAAGGAATTAATATGAGACTAAATATTGATTGCATAAAAATTTCTCTATAATACTATTTTTTGTACTGAATTTATTGAAAGATAAGTCCATCCATCTTCTAGATCATATTTAAGATCAAATTGTGGGTTCAGTTCCCCAAAAGCAAAGGCACTCTTTGTTTTCTGGGGGGTTTTTTTGGTTGGTTTGTTTGTTTTGACTCTTTCATGACTCTTATACTTTCATGGTATAAGCCCCTAATGTAGTTACAAATATAAATATTTTAAGGATATTTTTGTTCTTTGCTAAGAGTCTAGACATGAAGTACTAAACTCTTCAAGTAAAGACTTTAAAATTCTAACATTGTTACTTTTAATAAAATGCATTGTTTTTAAGGGAGAAACCTTTGAAGTTCCAGAAATTGTACCATTTCGCCTGACTCATAATATGGTTAATGGAATGGGTCCTATGGGAACAGAGGGTCTTTTTCGAAGAGCATGTGAAGTTACAATGAGGTTGATGAGAGATCAGAGAGAGCCTTTAATGAGGTAATCATGTATACTTTGTAAATAATTTAACAGGAACCCTGAATGTAATTATTGATCCCTAAGTATGTTTTCTTTGTATAGAAACCACTTTGCATTGGTTGAAGTAGATTTTTTAATAGCTTCAATAAGATATAATTCATATGCCATTAAAGTTACCCCTTTTAAAGTATGTATACACCTAAGTGATTTTTATTATATCCACAAGATTGTTCAACCATTACCACTATCTAATTTGAAAACATTTTCATCACCCCAAAAAGAAATCCCATAGGCACACTAGCAGTCACTCCCAGTCCTTTCCCCTCTCTGCTTTCCTGTTCCCAGCCATCCCCTTGCAACTACTAATCTACTTTGGCCTTTTGTGGCTATTTCATATAAATGGAATTTATAATATGTGGCCCTTTTTGTCTTCTTTCACTCAGCATAATGTTTCCAAGGTTTATTGTGTATCAGTACTTATTCATTTTTATTGTCAAATTATATTCTATTGTATGGATATGCTACATTTTGTTTGTCCATTCATCAGTTAATAGGCATTTAGATTGTTTTTAACTTTTATCTGTTGTGAATAGTGTGGTTGTGAACATTGTGCACAAATTTTATGTGGATATGTTTTCAGTTCTCTTGTGTATACCTAGGAGTGGAATTGCTGGGTCATGTGTTAACTCTAGGTTAACATTTTGAGGAACTTTCAGATTATTTTCCAAAGCAATTGTAATACTATATAATTCCACTAGTAATGTATGTGGCTTCCAGTTTCTCCACATCCTTACCGATGCCTATTATTGTCTGTCTTTTATTTTACCTATCATAGTGAATGTGAAGTAGTATTTCATTGTACTTTTAATTTGCATTTCCCTAATGTCCAGTGATATTGAGCATCTTTTCACATGCTTGGCCATTTGTATATATTCATTGCACAAGTGTCTATTCACATCTTTTGCCCTTTTTTTGTTTTTTGGCAGCTGGATGGTATGGAGATCTTACCCCTTGACTTTGGTGTTACAACACTACTCTAACCAACTGTGCTAGCCAGCCAGCCCATTTTTTTTGTTGTTATTTTCATTTCTTTTTCTTTGCCAGTTTTTAAGTGGGTTCTCTTTTTATGCTTGAATTGTAAGGGTTTTTTCTTCTAAGTGTTTTATAGTTTTAGCTCTTCTGTTTAGCTCTTTGTTCTATTTTCAGTTATTTTGTGTATATGGTGTGAGGTAGAGGTCCATATTCATTTGTTTGCATGTGTATATCCAGTTGTCCCAACATCATTTTTTTTTTTTTTTTTAAAGATGACTGGTAAGGGGATCTTAACCCCCGACTTGGTATTGTCAGCACCACGCCCTCCTAAGTGAGCCAACCAACCATCCCTACACAGGGATCCGAACTCATGGCCTTGGTGTTATCAGCACCTTACTCTCCCAAGTGATCCACAGGCTGGCCCTCCAACATCATTTTTTGAGAAGACTATTTTTCTAATGTAAATGTCTTGGCATTTTTGTTGAAATGGTCATTTGATTGTCAACAATTCTATTCCATCGATCTCCACGTCTAACCTTATGTCACCAACACACTGTCTTGATTTCTGTAACTTTGTAGTAAGTTTTGAAATCAGTAAGTGTGAGTGCTCCAATTTTGTTCTTCTTTTTCAAGATTGTTTGCTTATCATGGGTCCCTTGAATTTCCATGTGAGTTCAATTTATGCAAGAAGCCAGCTTGGATTTTGATAGGAATGGAATTGAATTTATAAATCAATTTGGGGAGTATTGCCATTTTAACAATATTAAGTCTTCTGATCCATTTATTTAAATCTTATTTAATTTTTCTATTTATTTGAATCATATTTAATTTTTTTCAGCAATGTTTTATAATTCTTAGCTTTAATTCTTTAATCTTTTACTCTTCAAAATAGTATTTCTACATGTTTTATTCCTCCTCGGGCGGGAGCGCCGCCACGCTTCCCAAGCGGCGCACTATCCAGTACGCCACCGGGCCAGCCCAGTATTTCTACATGTTTTATTCTTTTTGATTCTAGTCTAAATAGAATTTTTTCTTAATTTCATTTTTGGATTATTCATTGCTACTGTATAGAAATACAACTGATATTTGTATATTTCTCTTGTATTGTGCAACCTTGCAGAACTTATTTCTAATAGTGACTTATTTTAATAGTTACTTTTGTGGCTACCTTAAGATTTTTCTCTGCAACAGCAGAGCATCTGCAAATAGTTAGTTTCACTTCTTCCTTTCCAATCTCAATGCCTTTTGTTTCTTTTTTTGCCTAATTACCCTAGCTAGATGAATGTTGAATAGATGTGGTAAGAGTGGACATCCTTGTTTTGTTCCTGATCTTAAGGGTAAAGCAGTCAGTCTGTCTCCTTTAAGTGTGACTTTAGCTGTAAGAAGCAGATAAATCTTTTTTTTTTTTTTTTTTTTTTTTGAGACCGGCCGCACGGCGCTCAGCCAGTGAGCACTGTGAGCACACCAGTCATCCCTATATAGGATCTGACCCCGCGGCGGGAGTGCTGCTGCACTCCCAGCACCGCACTCTCCCGAGTGCGCCACGGGCTCGGCCCAGAAGCAGATAAATCTTAAATAGACTTTTTAAGCTCATTTATTCATCTTCTGTATTTAGAAACTGTCTATGAGACATTATGGTAGAATACACTGGTTAGGTAGACCTATTCAAAGGCAAATTCTCTAAAAGAGGAAGTATATCATCTTGTAAAACACTTACCAGGATCTCCTTTGTTAGTCTGGGGAAGTAAGGAAATAATTTCTGGAAATAATAGCTGAGACCTTAACGAAAAATATAGTTGAATAGACAAAGGAGAACAGAGTGTTTTGAGTGATAGAATTATCAAGGCGAGTGAACGCATGGCAATACTATATTCTAGAGAGTTTACTTCAAGGAGGTGGTGCTAAGAAATGGTGCTAGACAGATGATCAGTGGCTACATTATGAAGGGCCCACATGAGGCCTGTTTTCACATTTGCACTTTTCCTGAGAGCAACCATAAGTCATTGGAGTTTTAAGAAGGAATTTTTAAAAGAGGAAGTGAAAATCTGACTTGCACTGCTGAAAAATTAGGGTTCCAGTTTGGGCTAACGGTCAGAAAACTAGTTAGAGGACTACTGTAGTAACCCAGGAAAAAATGGTGTCCCAGGTGGTATTGTGGTGGTAGAGATGGGGATGAGTAGAGAGATTCTAAAGATATTTGGGAGGTAGAATTGGATGTGAGAAGAAGAGGAGGCAAGGATGATTCCTCGATTTTTGCCTAGAATAAACGGGCAAATGATGTTTTTTACTGATTTGGGGAATACAGGTAAAATAGTTGGGAAAAGGTAATGAATTTCAATTTGGAAATTTTGAGTTTAAGATGTCTAGAGCACAGAAGAATTCTGGGCCAGGTCTGTACGGTAACTATATGTATTATACAGACACTGAAGACATGGCAGGGGATAAAATTCATTTATTCAGTAAATAAACTTACCAGTTCACAGTATACATTGAGAGTTGGCACACAGACCTCTTCTTACTCCACTCACCAAAAACACCTCTGACTCTTCTCTATCTTGCCTCTTCTCTTCCTACCCTTCCCATCCCTTCACACCAAAACAATAATTTCATATATCTTTCTGAAAAGGTAGTAATGTGTATTGCGAGAGTATAACCATTGGTTTCTCATCCTTCTCCACTCACCAAAAACACCTCTGACTCTTCTCTATCTTGCCTCTTCTCTTCCTACCCTTCCCTTCCCTTCACACCAAAACAATAATTTCATATATCTTTCTGAAAAGGTAGTAATGTGTATTGCGAGAGTATAACCATTGGTTTCTCATCCTTCGCTTATTTTTAAGTGTTGATTTTAGCAAGATTTATTTTTGCAAAGATAACACTGCATTATTACCATAATACTTGTTTCAACTTCAGTGTCTTAAAGACTTTTATACATGATCCTCTTGTGGAGTGGAGTAAACCAGTGAAAGGGCATTCCAAAGCACCACTAAATGAAACTGGTGAAGTTGTCAATGAAAAGGTTAGTATGATATGAGCTGATAATATATATCTCTGCAAATGAGAACTGATTCTAAGTATTGTCAGCAACTTACTATTGATTACTTTGAAATCTAGTTCTCTATTATGACAGGGCCTAAGTTTTTTTTATTGTCATTGCTAATATTAACATTATTAGCATTTATATAATAAAACAGAGTTCAAGGCACACTTGTTTAACCATAGACAATTCACAATTATGAGATACAGTGGGAAAAGCTTGAGCACAAATTGCTTGAACTTACATAGCAGCAGATCTGAGTTTTAATATGGTGATAACCGTGTGCCACTGTTAGCAATGGCACAATTGCAATTCACTACTTACTAAAATTAGTGGAAGTCTCCAAGTTTGCAGATAATTATCTTTTAATAAATTAGAACAGATTGGGGATTATTTTCCTCATAACATCATTCTCACTTTTGCATTCTGATATGCTTTCTTAAGAGAGAAATATATAGAATTCCAAGTGGCTCACTTAGAATTCACATTTGCATGTATTAACTTAATGTAAATATTAGGCATTAAAGCATTGTTGCTATTATTAGAATAGTCATTCAAATGTTTAAGTCCTAAAGTATTTTTCTGTATTTGCTCCTATGAGAGGGTAATTAATCAGTAAAATGGTGTTAACATTCACTAAATATCAAGAAAAGTAGTAATTCCAAGTTATCAACACACACATATTATTGGATCCTTAGCCCTAATGATTTTCATTTTTTCTTTTCAGGCCAAGACCCATGTTCTTGACATCGAGCAGAGACTACAAGGTGTAATCAAGACCCGAAATAGAGTTACAGGATTGCCATTATCTATTGAAGGACATGTACATTACCTTATACAAGAAGCTACTGACGAAAACTTATTATGCCAGATGTACCTTGGTTGGACCCCATATATGTGAAATGAAATTATTTCAAAGAATATGTTTACAACTTAAAATTGATGCATTTGATATTAATCGGTGGTTGTATCTATTCAACTCTAAAGTACAACATAAGTTTCATTATGTTCTCAGAGCAACTGGTATTTCTCTCCCTGATTGTATTTAAAATAATATATGTTCAGTTTTTAAGAAATAAATTGCTTTTTTAATACATACTATGTATTCTAAAAATGGAACATTATTTGTTCTTATGGTCAATAAAATGTATTTGCAAGAAATAAGGCAGGCTTATTTCACTTGACAACTTTCATTGATTTCCTTTTGAAAGTACTAGCTAACATAAGGATTTATTTTAACAAAATTATATCAGATAAATACTGTGGGCAAGGCACTGTGCTAGACTTGTGCACAGAGCTACCTCCTTTTCTCTCCAGGTGATAGTCTTGTAAGAGAGAGACGTAAAAATAAATAGCACACCATTAAGTTCACTAAATAAAACTGTTCTGGTATGTTTGAAAGTGTAATAGGGAAAAAGCATAAGCCAAGAAGCATGAATATGAGAACTAAATAAATATTCTGTAATTTTAAAGATGCTGCCATATTATAGGTGTACAAAATTACAGAATCCAGTGGTCATGGAAGACACAGCAATACTTAAAATTCCATGAAATTTTAAAATCTAAAAATTTTAATTGTTTAAGGTTTTCCCCTAAACTTTCTTGCAGAAGATTTATGATGAATGAAAATAATTACAAAGTAATTACATTATTACATTCAAATAAATGGAAATTTCTCCAATTTAAAAGATAATTTGACTTGAATTCCCTTGATATTCTGGTTTTTTGTACAGTTCTTAAGTGTGCTGGGGAAAATCATAACCAGAGGCATGAATGTGAAAATTAAAACATTATATATGTGGGGAAAATAGAATGGTTGGGTCAGGCTCCCTCAACTCAGGTCTGGTTGGGGGTTGTGCAGCACGTTCTTAATTCTTTGTAAACAAGTTATGTGTGAGTGGAGTTAGTGGCATGTGCACCAATGTATCTTTTTAGGTTTGTTGCTATTGTGTGTTCTTGAGTTTGTGAAGCAGAGCTGGCAGGCAGAGAGCTCGTGTCTAAAAATAGAGCATAGCTACTCAGTTTTTTCTTTGGACCTTGCCAGTAGCAGTTGAGTTTCTGAGTTTCTCTGTGGACTGCTTAGCTCATAGTGTTGTGTGTGCTAAATAAAGACTATTCCTACTTCAGCCAAGGCTCCAAGGACCTTTTTGCCAGTTACCTAGCTCACAGACCTGCATGTGAAGGGTTTGTGAGTGGGCCAAGGATCTGTGAGCTCCAGATCCCAGCTCTACCTCCACAATATAATTTCCTATCGAGGGCCTAATGTTAACAGTTAAGGGCTGGAGAGGGGGGAGTAGTTGGAGATTTTTTAACAAATAATTTGGAAAATAACGTTTTCATTTTTATTTATTTTGGCGGCTAGCCGGTGCGGGAAAAGAAACTACAGTAGCCTCACATTCCTCAGAGAAAATAACTCCGCCTCGCAAAACAAAGCCAGATAAATCAGCAGACCTTTCCAAATCTGTGTTGAAACACACTAACAATCACAGGAGACAGAGCAGCCAGGACAAAACTCAGTGTCTAGCACTCTCCAGCAGTCTCGTGAGGTTTTCATACCACTTGCACTTCACTTACAAAGCTCAGGCTGACCACCCGGCATGCTCCGAACCAAATCGAACGCAGGCCTGCGAACCTCGTGTGAGCCGTGACCGACAACCCCCGCGAGCACGACGAAGCCGGCGGAAGGTGGGATTAAGTCCCGCCCCCGGGACGCGGACGCGGCCTCTCCTGCCGCTCTAGGCCGGCGGCTGCTCTCTGTGGTAGGGCGGGAAATGTGTTGTCATCGGCAGAGCGACGTCCGGAGGCTGCGGCTGAGGCCCCGGCGGGGCGTTTGGTTTCGGTTTCCCCCTGACAGGAATTACTGTTGACGGTCGAAATGGGAGTCCCCAAGTTTTACCGATGGATCTCGGAGCGATATCCCTGCCTCAGCGAAGTGGTGAAAGAGCATCAGGTGGGTGAGCGACAGGCTCCGAAGGCCGAGAGCCCGGGGCTCCGCGGCCCTCACTCCACCTGGACGGGGGCTTCCCAGCCTCCACTTTGTGCTTGTCCGCGGAGGAGCTGCGGGAGGGGGCAGTAGGCTTGAGGACGCCGGCAGGGTCTGCGCGGAGGCACAGCCGCGGGCTGCGTTTCCCTGCGCCGAGGCGCCGCGGTGACGGCAGGTCTGACAGCGCCCCTGCCTCGCCAGGGCCTTGCGCGACTCCGAATTCAGGCCTGGGAAGGATCGCTGTTCTTGAGTTCTTCGCTGCACGCCCCGGGGTGCGCAAGTCGTCATTTTCCTTATAGCGTCCGCGCGCAGCTGGAGTCCGTGTCCCCTTAGGCACCCCCATCCCACCCAAGGCGCCTGGCCCACGTACAGTGACAGCGCCTCCTCAGCTGATTCACCTCGTTTGCTTTCCCTCATCAGGAATTGCACCCTCCCCACCCCCAACGCCCGGACTTCTTGACGTAGCTAATGGTTCATATTTATAATGCCTTTTGTTCTTCGTCTTCTGTTATCCAATGGACAGCACCAATCCCCTATTGCCAAACACACACACACACACACACACACACCCCACTGGGGGAGGCGGCGCGTTATTTGGAAGCTTCCGTGTGTGTGTGTGTGTGTGTGTGTGTGTGTGTGTGTGTGTGTGTGTGAGAGAGAGAGAGAGAGAGAGAGAGAGAGAGAGAGAGAGAGAGAGAGAGAAACAAACGAATTGTTACAGCATAAATATACTACTACTAATATTGGGTATATGATGACCCCAGGGCCACGTTTACGTGTAGATTTGTTTAGTGTAGGTTATATATTGGAACTGTGGAAAGAGAAGAGAAAGCAGTCGTCTATTAGGTAAACTAAACTTTGGATGAGACTTTAGTGTTTGACGAATTTGATAGATCTCTTGTCCATTTTATGTTTTACAGGCAAAAAAACTCCATTTCGAAATTTGTATAGCTGATTTAAGTGGTATTGTGGGAGTGTTAACAGTGGGGGGGGGGAATCCGGTGGACACCATCAAGCTATTAAGTGATGGTTTAATCTTCTAAAAATACTCGTAAGCATAAAGGTAGAGTTATACTTCTGGAAAGGATTATTTTGTTGCTGGATTCCAATCAGATTTAGTATATGAGAAGAAGCTTACAAAAAATTCCAAAATGGTAGCTTATCTTTAATATTTGAAACATAGGTTTAGTTAGATTTAGGGAGGGGTTTACTTTCAAGGAGAAAGGTACCAGTACATTGTGGAAATGGAGACAACTAGCTGGCTTTTCCTGGATCCTTCAATCAACAAATATTTGATTACCTGCCATGCATCAGTCACTTTATTTCTACAGTGAAAAAATAATGTGATTGTTATTCAGAATTGACTTGATAATGCACAGTTATCAAGTTCAGTAATATTTTTATTCTGTGCTCTTTGGCACAGAGTTTGGTTTGGTGAACATATCTCAGATTCTATCTATCCTGAGGAATTTTGTTACTGAGGAACGAAAATAATCTCTTTAAGGCAATTTTATGACATAACACTAAGGATAGGTTTTGAGAAAGTTTTACTGTAGATAGAAACTGGGAGTAGGGTTATTTTAAAATTCCACAGGAAGTAAACTATGAAACTTGATTTATTAAGGTGATGTCTTTCAAAAATGTTCCATTAAAAAGAGACAAAAGGGCTATCAGCTACTCTGTCAAGCAGTACTGGATAGTAGTGCCCAAATAAGTCAGTGATTCAAAAGCTAGTCCTGGGGGAAGGGATTAGAAGGAGTGGGTTCTGGGAAGACAGTGATGGTGGTGGTGGCAGCAGCACAGTTTGTCAGTCTCTCTGAATCCATAGAAACAGAAAGAGAAACTAGACAGCAAAATTTTAAAATCCACAGAACAATTACAACAAACCATGTGACATGGTATTCCTATGAGCTCCAAAATACAACTAGGTAAGGAAAAACTACCAACAACCTCCAGATTCAATCAGTTTTGGCATCTGTGTGAGAGGAGAAAGGAAGCAATGGGGTAACATCCAGTGAATCTGAGAACAGAACTCTGGAACAGCCCACGGGTATTCACTAAGACTGTGCTGGCCACTTAACAAGCAGTAGCTGAAAATGAGGGTTTTTATTCTCTTCAATATTGACTGAGTGAAGGGTCTACCATCAGAAAGACAAAATGGGCAGGAGCAATCTACCTCCTCTGAACTCTCAAAACTGATTTACCAAAGGTGCCATTCTAGGGCAGAGCCAACCCTAAGGAGAAACTGCTGCGAGTGGAATTAAATTTTATCATGAAAGGAACAATAGAGATGAGAAAAGAGAAGGAAGAGGTCTAGGTAAAAGTGAGAGAGAGTTTGAGTCAAGAAATCTTAGAAAACAAGCAAGCAAACCATTATTTTTTAACACTACCCAAAAACAGCAGAAAAGGGAGCTTTCTGAAGTTAAAGCCTTCTATTCATTCTAAACACTGAAGGAAATTGACATAAAAATGAGCAAGAGAAAAGCATTGACGTAAATTGCATACAAAGTTATTATAGGGAAACAAGGGAACAAAATAACATCCATTCAGAAAGTAACAACTTGCAGTAAAGACATGCACACAAAACATACCAAAACTATAACCTGCTATTTCAGAATGAGTTAAAAGGCACTAAGGAAATGATGTAACACATTAAAGAACAACAGTATCAATTATGAAAACTCAGGCATGAGATGACAGACCTAGAGAAAATTAGAAATAAGTAGAAAAAATCATTTCAGAAATGAAGGCTAAAATAGAAGCAAGGCAAGAGCAAGTGATGTTATAAAGGTGGGGGGGAGTAGAAAGTAGAAAGAAGAGGAAATTTTTTTTTTCAGAAATGAAGGCTAAAATAGAAGCAAGGCAAGAGCAAGTGATGTTATAAAGGTGGGGGAGAGTAGAAAGTAGAAGAGGAAATTTTTTAAAAAGAAAAGATAAAAGGGATTCAAGAGAAAGTGATAAATGAGAAAGATAGGTAAAGATGACAAATAATAGGGGTTCCTGAAAAAGAAAACCAAAGCAACATAGCAGAACAAATAGTAAAACTATTATTTTTTTAAAACTTGACTAAAATTTTTTTAAAAAATTGAAACTGCATATTAAAAGAATACACCATATACTTGAGAATATTTATTCAGATGATCAATACCAAGATATAGTCTAGTAAAATTACTGGACTTTAAAGAAAAAGAAAAGGACCACTTACTGGCTTCACTTTAGGGTCCCCAAATTGGGAACCACATGTTCCCCCTCTGTTAGTGTCTTTCTAATGTTACTGGATTGTAAAGCTATCCTCGTTTTGTCTCTTTTTTTCCCCCATGTGTTCCCCCTCTGTTAGAGCCTCTAAAAAAAGAGACAAAACGAGGATAGCTTTATAATCCTGAAATTTTGTTTGTAAGCAGATTGTTCTATTTCATTGGAGATAAGTTGCTGGTTTTGTTTTAGAGTCAATTAGCACCATCAATGGAGAAGAAAGAGAAGGACAATTCCAGGGACTTTTTTTTCAAATAATAATCATTTCTACTCCAGCACCAACTCATCCTTTACATATCTTCAGAGCTTGGAGCTAACAACTTATAAGGATCTGAGATCAGGTACAACAGTTTCAACTTCTGATGGAGTATTCTGGGTTTGTTCCAGGCTATCTTATTTTATCCATCAATTCAAACCCATGTACTTCCTTCTAGAAATCAGTGGTTGGCTGATACCTTCCATTCTCCGGCTTTTTTCCTGTGGAGAAGAGAGACATATACGTGTAAAATCCTTTTTTGTTATAGGGTTTTGGGAAAGGAGAGAAGGTGAACACATATTCTTGATCTGACTTTACAAAACAAAGGTCATACAACTAAGATTATAAAGTCTTGGAGCATGTGAAGTTCTCTTCATAATTATAATCCAGAACCATGCCATTAAAATAGCTATGATTTGTAAGGCACTTGCCATGTACCTGATACTGTTTTAAGTGCTTTATATGCATTCTTATTTAATTATAGAAATCCTATTATTATTTTCTCCATTTTGTAGCTGAAAAAATCAAGTCACAAAAAGATTGAATAACCCAGAATGATTATATAGCCAGTGAAGTAACTGTTGGAGCTGAATTTGAAACAAAGCAAAATTGCTCTAGAGCAGTTTTTGTTTTGTTTAGTTATTGATCCTCCTCTAAAAGCTCTTTAGACTTGTTTTTTCCTAATTACTCCCCCAACTCCATGGAATTTTAATGCCACAAACATATTGTATATCAGTTTATGTACTGTGGCGTTTTATTGTGTTAAACCCCCCTACACACACACACTCACACACACACACACACACACACAATTTTGGCTCCCTTGGGAGTGATGTTACTATTGATAATACATGTTCTTCAGCCTGCACTTTTTTAAAAATTGTGGTAAAAGATATGTATAACAGAATTTTATTCTCTTAACCATTTTTAAGTGTACAGTTCAGTAGTGTTAAGTGCATTCACATCGTTGTGCTAAGCCTACACTTTTGAAACTAGTCTTCTAAACATTATGTTAAAAATGCTTCTTGGTTATGAAAACCTAAACATTCAAATATGAGAAACACAAGCTGTCATTTCCATTTTAAGGTGTTTGCTGTTGTGTAGGGAGCTTATCTTATTTTTTACTGTATTCACTGTATTACTATATGTACTGTATTTCCCAGCCCCTAGCATGACATGTGGCACATAATGGGTATTTAATAAATATTTATTGAGCAAATTAATTTGTTAACTATAGCATGTTATGTAATATACAAAGTATAATATATAGAAATATTATATATTAAGATATACATAGTGTATTGGTATGTTTTATTTATTTATTTGTTTGTTTATATTTTTTTCTTTTTCTTTGTCTTTTTAAAAGATGACCGGTAAGGGGATCTTAACCCTTCACTTGGTGTTGTCAGCACCACGCTCTCCCAAGTAAACTAACTGGCCATCTCTATATAGGGAGCCA